TATATATATATATATGATGTACTGTATATTTCCAAAAAACTAGAAGAATTTTTAATGTTTTCACATTAAAGAACTGATAAATCTTAAATACATCTGTTTAAACTGATTTAAATGTTTCACAATGTACACATGTATCAGTCACTACATGGCACCCCATAAGTATTATGTTTTTATGCCTTTACTTAGTACCTTTAAAAATAAGTTAGAAAAGATTTCAATCAAGGAATGTTTTTTAAAATACTTGATTCCAAAAACTGTCCCAGTTATCAAAAACAAGAGAAATATGAGAAACTGTAACAGCCAAGGGGAAATGAATGATATGTAATGATAAGTAAAATGGTCTCCTGGATAGGATCCTGGAACAGAAAGAGGACATTAGGGAAGATGTGAGGAAATTAGAATAGAGTATGAATTTCAGCTAACTGTAACATATCAGTGTTAGCTTATTAATTATAACACATGCACCAATTAATTTAAAATGCTAATAGAGGAAACTAAATGTGGGAATGTAAGAATTCTCTGTACTGCCTTCAGAGTTGCTCTATAAAATAGCGTTTATTGAAACAAACTGGCTGCTTCCCTAGACCCTCTTCCCAGGCAAAATAAGGCAGAACAGGATGAGCACAGTTTGGCAGTTCTCAGGGAATGCACTTCAGGCTTCCAGTTCAGAGGCTGAGTCTGAAAACCTTAGTGCCAAGCAGCCCCTCCCCATTTTGCCAGACTGGTGGCTTGCAGACAAGAGAAAACTCTCCAAGAGTGCCTGGCACAATGTCATCTTTTGATTATGTCTTGCTGTGATTGCAGGCGCAGTGTCTGTCCTGGCAGTCTAGATCCGGCCTTCACATCCCTGTGGGCTTCCTTGCCCTGTGTCACATCCTTGGCCCTAGCCCCTGAATTTCTCCACTTTGTTGGGAGTTATTCTAGGGCAGTGCCGACTCACCACCCCACCTGATCTACTCTAATCCTGAAACAAACTTGGTCAGCCTTGAGCTCAGAGGAAAGGCCTTTCTCTTGTGCTCCTACTTCAAAGCCACTGTGGGTGTGCTTTTGACTGCCTTCCCAGAGCGATCAGCGGGAGGGAGCTCGGTGCCAGCTTTCTAAAAGCTGAGTTGCACTCGGCAGGGCTTTGCAGGTGGCAAAGGGTTCTGATCCTGGGAGAAATCTGGTCTGAGGGAAGAGAGTGACTGCATGTTTTGTGGGGTGGAGGATGCAGCGTTAACGTGAACTCCAAGCTCAGAAATATCCAGAGAACTCAAAGTACCCCCATATTTTTGTAGCAAAGGATCCACTTGGACTTTAAAGTGGGAAGTGCGGGCTGCTGGGGAGTGGTTTCTGATTGGTAGCTCATGCGCTCTGAAAGGCTGAGAGCTGGCAGGAGATGGGCTCTCTCTAAAGAGGGAAGGTGGCGACCAGGACCCCACAGCCTACTCAAAAGCACCATAGGGAGGGGTGAAACAGCCTGGAACTGCTATAACCGCCTCCAGCAAGTGCCAAGAGATCCCGAGGAGGTGCCAGAGCAAAGTCAGCGGGCCTGTGCGCCAGCCGCGCCCTGTGCTCTCCAGCTTTACGCACGGGTTTAGCTAGCCTTTTGGCCGCGTAAGGAACACAGAGGGGAACTCCAACCATCTCTACTAAAGATGGGACTTTTACCACAGTCATGGGCCCTTGTACCCGGGCTCCCAAGGGCAGAAGGAGCCAAAGGTCCAGGCTCTAAATCTGGGTTAGGCACAAGCTGGAATGGCCTTAGCTGGCCCGAGAGAGGGGCGCACAGTCTGGCTGGCGTGTGGTAAGACCTCTGAGTTAATGTATAATTGTGAGCAGATGGCGGGGGCTGGCAGCAGCCTGGGGCCTGGGCCCAGCTAATGAGGGACAATTAGCCCCAAACCCGGTGGGGGCAGTTGAGAGAGTCAGACAGTGAAGGCAGATATTTGCTCCTCAAACAGTCTGGCGCGTTGGGCAGAGGGCTGAGCGGCTGAGCCTTTGGGCTTGCTAGGCCCCCCGCCAGGGCCCTTTCCTCTTTTTTCCCTCCCCCTATCACCTCTGGGTCGAAAGCTTCTGTTTGTTCAGACCCGAGAGCCCGTTGTAAAGACTGAGGGAGAGGGTAGTTTATGGGAGAAATCGCTGCCTCTACCATCTGCCAGGGCTTGTCCTTTCTCCCCCCTGACACCCCTACCTACACCCTCATGCAGCTGTGTATAGAAAAAGCCAGTCAGGATATGAGCCTTGGGATCCAAGATGCAAGGCAAATCCCGGGAAAGTAATAAGGTAGGAAAAGGGGGACTAAGAACAGGGCCCCCTCATCCCTTCTTGGGGACCTCCTTTCACCAGGCACAGCCAAGCAGAGTAACTAGCAGTCCCTAGCTGCCCAAGGGTAGAAGTGCTCTCCTTAGACTGGGGCACGTGCTGTCCTGCCCATGGTGCTGAAACCATCTGTTACAGTGTTCCCTCTGCTCCAGGGCTCCCACCTAGCTTAAGGATGCTGAAGGAGAGTGGAAGAGGAGTGAAGTATGTGTCAGGGTAAGGTTGAAAATCCATTTCTGTGATGCATTTGGCCTTGAAAGACAAGACTTTCCAACCCCAGGATACAATTTCATGTATAATACCACTCCAACATCATCAAACCCAAAGTATTTACCAATGAGATCCATTCTTCTCTCCTTTGGCTTCTGGGTTAGTCTCATTGCCCTAACTAATCAAGGTTGCTTACTTGAACCTCACTTCTGTGACTGAGTTACAGAATCTGGGGTACAGAATGGACCCAAAAGGCTTTCCACATTGCCACTTTTACACCCTAGTTGGATCTGTCCAAGACTGTAATAGCAATAAGGCTTCCAAGCATGGGATTCTATGTTCATGCTCAGCAACCCATTCTGCAGGAGCAACCTGCCCAGTTACAGGTTTCCTCACCCAGCAGTGGTCCAGGTGCTCTTTGGTGTCTTTTGTGGGAACAGAAGTATTATTTTTCCTATAGTCCCAAGTAAAATCCCAAGTAAAATGGAGTCTAGATGGAAGAATGAAAAATCATTTACAGGTCTCCTTAGAAACACCACAGACATTTCTAACCATCCTCTGACACTCATTCCCACCACCTAACATTGTCAGTGTTTTGAAGTCTAGGGTGCCCCAATTTCTAGGCACGGACTCATCCTTCATGCCATTTTAATCAAGGAGCCGATTAGAGACTTTGTGGGGATCCTCTCTGGGAAGAACAGATGCTTTGTGACACAATATCTTCTCCATCCTCTCTCCTCTCAAGATTTTAGAAGCCAACTCAGTGTACACTTAGGAATCACTCTCTATATCCATTTATCTTTTACAGTAATGCACATATGACCTGGAAGTTGACTCGAAAGTTCAGACATATGCATTATGGATGAAGCTGCAACCAATAGTTCTAGAATATTCTTTTGTGGTTCTATGCACATGAAACTTTGGGTGCATAGTCTGAAGTTCCCCTCATCTTTTATGTTTCTCATTCTTTTCAGGAATACTGGCCCATGCTTGGGTATACTCTGGGTCAAGGGGGCCAGGGTAGGTAGACACAAGGTGGTCTCTGAGGACTCCCCACAGAAAGACACAGTGGGCCATTGGCTGTGGGTTGCCCTGCCTCAGGGCCAGTGTCAGTCAGCCCCATGCACACTTCCCTCCTCCTCTCTCCTCTGCTCATGGCCTGTGACATCACTGGCTGCTCCCAGAAGGCTGCCCTCTGCTCCTGAGCACAGGCTTTCTTTAGCTCTGGACCCCCTGGAAGAACCGAAGCCACAGCAGAGAGGAGGTTGTTTCCAAGAGCAGACCACCAGCACCCCTATCTCAGGAGCCCAGCACAGAAGACTGATACCTCTCACTGGAAACTCCCACCTCCTTTCCAACACCCAGGTAGCTCACCTGCAGGCTCATTGTCTGCTCTGCCGCCCATGTTATTTCCATGTCTTTGTGTGGCCAAGCCCAACTTTCTCCCTCTGTCTGACAGCTACTCACCCTCCTGCTCCTTCAACTTCCGCCCCTGCTTTCTCACCTAGTGAGAATCAGTTATTTTTTCCCAACAATTAACACAAATATTGGGAAGATGTGGGGAGGCTATTGGGTTTCTCTTTGTGAGTGAGGGGCGTGATTCATTTTGATTTGGAGATTATTTAGATTTGGATATTGAGCTGTGTTCCATGGCATCTTTGAGCGCTGGAGCTCAGAGTCTTATGAAGGATTCAGGGTTTGACAGATATTCTGAGCCCCCATACCCTGTCCTGGCATGCCTCCTTCCATTCCCAGCAACCCTCTTCTCCCCATTTTTTCAGTGGCAATTACACATGAAATAGGGAGAGAAAGAATCCCATGTTTAAGAGTCAGAAATTTTGACTTCTGGTCAGGAGCTAGCTTCTGAACCTTGAGTCTTACTATCAGTTGCTCTTGACCTATAGGAATCCCAATATATGTCTCAGATTTCTTTGGAAGAACTACTTTCCTTGCTGAGTTTCTGGAAGGATTAGAGACTGAAAGGAGATGTATCTCTAAAATGCTTAGAAAGAAGTGAATAAAAGCCAACTTAACTACTAACCTCATTGGGCTCCAGGTTCATTAGCGTTTCATTCCTGCTAGTCGACTGGTCTCTTCCCTGCTGCACTGTAATCTCTGTTTAGAAGGATAGAGTCCTGTCAAGCATTTCAGCTTTGGCTGATATTCTGACCTCTGTACTCTATCCTGGCATAACCCTTTATACACTCAGCTTGCTTCCATCTTTTTTTTTCCTCACTTCATCCCAAACAACTGGCCCATGTGCTCATACTTAATACCCTATTCAAGTAAGTAATTACTGATGAGTTCACTGAGCCAAGATAACCTCGTTATTTCAGGAAAATTCCATGGATAAGCTGTTCCCTGGAGTCACCAGTAGCTCTTCCAAGAGATAGGGGACAGCTTCAACTCTTATTAATTTCTGATGAACGCAGAGAAATGTGATGGTCCATGGCTGTGGCTGTTGCTGCTTAGAGACTCTGTTGTACTCAAGATGGCTTCTGTTTCCAACAACAGAAGCCCTCCCCTGCTTCTCATCCCTTCCTTTCAATATGTCTTCAGGAGACATTAGTACATCATACAATTGTCTGAAAGGTGGTCTGTGAAAATGAAGCTTCACTATGAAATCTAGACCTCTTTAGTGTTAAAAAAAAAAAAAAATGAACCAACAGCTCCAGCAACTTTAGAAGCTAAGAGGCGTGTTTTCTAGTAGAAGCCAGCACCTCAAGTTTATCTTTGTGTGAGACCAGAGCCCAGGGTCTGGGGTGGGAGGGGGCAAGTAGAGCTAAGTGCAACATTTCCTCCAGAGCTTCCTGGAGGACATAAAAAACAAAAACAAAAAACAAGAGCAAGACCTTTCCTGAAATACTCTGAAGGAAGGATTTAGCTGGTGGTTTGGAGAATTTAATCCAGGACTGTCTAATAGTGAATGCAAAGCCAGAGATTGAGGACCAGGGTCTCTAGTCCAAGTGTGTCAGCCAGGGGCTGAGAGAAGGCTTATGATTGGTCAGACACCCAAGTCTATTTGGAAAAGAGAAAGCCTTGAGCTCTAGGAAGTATTATCCCTTTCACCTCCCTGACCTTCCTTAGTGGATGTGTAGGAAATGAGTTCCCACTCACCTTCCTACCCCTCCTTTTGATACCTAAAAAGATCCAGGCCTCAGCTGGCCCTGTGATATTCCACACATAAGGACTTTAAGAGAATTCTAATGTTCTAGTGTTATCCAGTCTACTGATCCTCTATGACATTTATATTCCATGACCATTTCAAGGAACCTTATTCAAATAACACTCTATTATTTAAGAACCAGCCTCAAATCAGAATAGAAACTTCTAGAAGGAACTTCCCTTCTCAGCCTTCCCATTTGGCTTCCTGTCCTTCTGTGAGGAGAACCAGTGTGGAGCATGCCGCAGGACGGTAAGAGGCCTGTGAGAAATGGGAAGACCATGTAGGGGTTCAGAGACTGGGGTAATTCCCTCAGGTCTTTGTGTCCATCAACATGATTTCATTTGCCTTTAGGCAATGGTCTGAGGAAAGTTTTCTTCAGTTGCTCCCTCTCTGCTTCACTCTGCTTCCTTTAGATTGGGAGAATTAGCACAGAGCCCGCTCCCAAAGAAAATGACCTGTTTTATGACCCCAGGGAATAGGTGGGAGCAGTCTCTTGGAGAAAGACTTACTGGATGGTGGTAGACCAGGCTGGAAGACATGGGTGATCCTTGGCAGAGGTGGGTAGGGGCCTGGAGAGATGCAGTGTGCAGATGCTTACTTCTCATTCTCAGGGCTCAGCAGTGTGAATCAGCTAGGCGGACTCTTTGTGAATGGACGGCCCCTGCCCCTGGGCACTCGACAGCAGATTGTGCAGCTAGCAATCAGTGGGATGCGACCCTGTGACATCTCACGAAGCCTTAAGGTAGTGCCAAGCCCTTTACCCAGTGATCAGGGGCCTCTCTTGAGGCAAGAGTCTGGGGCTGTTACAAACTCCAAGAGTCTCTAGGGCTTGGGCTACCTTCTAGAAGATACTCTTGGAGCTTAGGAGGGGAAACTTTAGATGCCCAAAGATGACATTAGACTCTCAACTCCATGACTTGGTCCCATGAGTCTCACTTTGCCTTGCAGTTTATTTCTGACCCAGGAATGCTCACCTTCCTTCAACCTATCATGTGTTTCTTGTCCTGTCCCTGCTTCTCACCTGACTCAGGTATCTAATGGCTGTGTGAGCAAAATCCTAGGGCGTTACTACCGCACAGGTGTCTTGGAACCCAAGGGTATTGGGGGAAGCAAGCCACGGCTGGCCACACCCCCTGTAGTGGCTCGAATTGCCCAGCTGAAGGATGAGTATCCAGCACTCTTTGCCTGGGAGATCCAACGCCAGCTTTGTGCTGAAGGACTTTGCACCCAGGACAAGGCTCCCAGTGTAAGTGCCCTCTCCCTTCCCTGGGGCTGCAAATGGACTGGGAAAAACAAGAACCTTTTTACGTTGGTAATTCAGGCATCTCAGGTGGGGAGTAAGGGAAACCAGAGTCAGCCTCTTGACTCATAAATTTCTGTTCTGGAAGTGGTGGTAGTCAGAAAGATAAGTAGGAAGCATGGGGAGAGTGAGGAAGTTACCCCTGGGAATAATGTGTAGGGAGGAAAAGGGTCTGCAGGATGAAGTCCTGGGTCTGTATACCACCTTCCCAATCCATACCCCAACACCTCAGGTATCCTCCATTAATCGAGTCCTTCGGGCACTACAGGAAGACCAGAGATTACAGTGGACACAATTCATGTCACCAGGTGGGTCTTAGAGTTGTTCCTGGAGACAATCAGCCAAATCATTAGCATTTTATAGCTCTCAACATAGGTTTCTCCACCTTTGTTGGGTCACCCTCCCAACCATCCTATAGAAGGAGTCTAGTGAGGCTCATGGGTGTGAAATGACTTACTCAGCTACCAATCAATTGTTGACAAGTCTTAGATCAGAACCTAGATCCCCTAACTCCTAGTTTCATAGGCTCTGCTAAGAAAGAGGCAAAATTGGGTCTTTCCCAGCCTTCTTCTGCCTCGTGCATAACTTCTAAGAGTGTCCATCACATTCTAAGGATCATGCACACTCGGAGCAACCCCTCTGCAGTTGTCCCTAAACGCTACCATGGTACTAAGCACATCTGCAGCAAGCACCAAGAAGTACATGCTCTTCCCACTCTGATGCTCTGCTCATATACTCCTGCTGTTGCCTACCCCGGGCTCCACCTGACCAGAGGAGTCAACATCACAAATACCATAAGATATTGTCCTCCTTTGCAGATGTTTTGGTTCCAGCTGTTCCCAGTCAGCATAGTGGCTCTGAAGCTCCTCGAGGGTCCCACCCAGGAACCAACCACCGAAATCGGACAATCTTCTCCCCAGGCCAAGCCAAGGCACTGGAGAAAGGTGCTGAGCTGATAGACAGTGGGGAAGAAAGTCCTTGGTATGGCACCAAGGCAACAGTCCTGAGACTTGTGGCAAAGACTGAGAGAGTAGAGGTTATGGGTAGTTTGGCCTTGGGCAGGAAGGTTACCTGGGGTTTTAATAGGTAGGGAAGGGAGAAAGGACTGACAAGGAGACCATGCCTCATTCCCTCCCCTGCCCTCACTGTGCCATCTCTACAGAGTTCCAGCGTGGGCAGTATCCAGATTCAGTGGCCCGTGGAAAGCTGGCTGCTGCCACCTCTCTACCTGAGGACACAGTGAGGGTGAGTGAGCTCTATGGTGTGGTGTGCACAAACCATAAAGAAGAACGTGTACTGACCAGGACTTTGGGTCCTGGCAAGGTAGAATCAGGCAAGAAGGTGGAATCGAATTTCTTTGGAGAAAAAAATCAGAGATGAAACAAATTCTTCTTGTTTTTCTGTGTATTGCTCTCCTCTTTTCCCCACCTAAACCTTTTAGGTGAGGAAGGAAGGAGAGGGAGAGGGAGAGGGAAAGGAGAGGAGAGAAGAGAGGAGAGGAGAGGAGGAAGGAGAGAGAGAGAGAGAGAGAGAGAGAGAGAGAGAGAGAGAGAGGCAAAGGTCAGAACAGGGAGGGAGAAGGTTCTACATTCTGAGTCCAAGCCAGGAACAGTAATGAAAACAGCTGATGCTAGGTGGCTGAAGATACAGCCAGCTAATGGTTCCTGTTTTCTCTCAGGTCTGGTTTTCCAACAGAAGAGCCAAATGGCGCAGGCAAGAGAAGCTGAAGTGGGAATCACAACTGCCAGGTGATTTCTGTGCACATCCACCCACCTACCTACCCATCCACCCATCCATTATCCATCCACCCATCCATTGTCTGTCCATTCATCCATCCATCCATCCATCCATCCATCCATCCATCCATATTTAGATAGTATATCCCATGTGCCAGACTATACTAGATCCTGAACACACAGAGACCCTGCTCTTAAGGGTTTTCCTGTCCCCAGGATCACTTCTGGGATTTAATCCTTTTTTCTAGTTCCCTAAGGCCCTGTTTGGGGAGGAAGGCAGTCCAAGTTTGTGACATCTATCTATTCACATCTTTGCAAGAAGTTGCTGCCTTTCCTGGAGTCTTGCTTTTCACCACACCCCTAAGCCCCATTCCTATTTCTTCCTCTAAATGGATCCACCCTCACCCTGTAGGAGCTTCTCAGGATCTGATGGTACCAAGAGTTTCCCCAGGGATCATCTCTGCACAGGTACTTGGGAGGAGAAGGGAGTTTGTGAACTAGAAAGACTGACAAGTGAAGGCATGGTTAGAATTCAGATACTCAGGGACTTCCCTGTGTAAACTACAAAGTGCAATCCCCTTTTCTCCTATATGAATGGCACCCTCTGGAGTGTGCGACACAGAATGGGGGGAGCAGTTGGGGATCTGGCAGTCCTGGTTTCCAGGCTTTCTGAATAGGAAACCTCACTGGCAACTGAGGGTCTCCTCTTGCTTTCTCCAGCAGTGCCCTGGCAGTGTGCCCAAAGCAGCCTGGCCTGCACTGGAACCATTGGGTCCTTCCTTCTATCAGCTGTGCTGGGGGACTGCACCAGACAAGTGTCCCAGTGACACCCCACCCCAAGTCTGTCTCCAGTCCTGCTGGGGTAAGAATTCAAAACAAGTTTTAATCCAGCAGAGTGTGGGGAGAGATAACTGGCTCTTTGACTGTGGGAGGGCATGGTTCTCCAGTTGGGGATACCAAAGGAACCTCTCAGAACAGCTTTTCTCATTCCTTGCATGGTCCACATAGCTGGGAAGACTAGCATCCCCATGTCTATAGTAACTGACAGCTGCAGCAGGTAAAGGAAGTGGGATTGGACTCTGAGTCTGTATACCCAGGTTAGAGAACTGATTTCTCAGCCCTTTTCCTAAGTAACTGTGAGAAGTTTGTGGGAGCAATAAGACCAAGCCCAGATGCCAGCGTGATGGCTCAGCAGATAAAAACACTTGCCACTGAGCATGCATGACCTGAATTTGATCCCAGGAACCTTCATGGCAGAAGGAGAGAACTAACTACAGCAAGTTCTCCTCTGACTTCCACATGTGCACTATGGCACAAATGCATGCACATACAGGCACCCACAAACACACACACACACAGATGCGCACACACACACACATGCACGCACACACACATTCACACTTACACTACAGGATAAATGTGAAGAAAAAAAAAAAACCCAACTTCCTCTGTGTCCTGCAAGCTGTTTGCCCCCGCACCTGGTTCCCTGGATTTGAGATTGCTTTGCTTCCTTGCCCTTCCTGACCCTGCCCATCATCGGTCTTGATATTCCTTCAGCCCTGCTCTAGACTGGCACCCCACTGTTGTAATGTCTGAACTAAGATGAGAGACCCAAAGTTGGGTAGGATCTATGCCAACCTGCATATTGTCCATATTATTTTGCCCACACAGATTGTCACTCCTTCCTCCTTCCTGTGGCCTCTTCCTCATGTGTGGACCTTGCCTGGCCCTGCCTTACTACCCCTCCTGTGCATCACTTGTTTGGAGTGCCTGGAGAAGTGACTTCCACTCATTACTCACACTGGCCATAAGTGGTCCACTTGGCAGTAATAAAAAACTTCTTTTTTAAAATTAAGAGCAGTTCCTGTTATTCATTATTTCTTTCTCATGAACACCCATATGCCCATCTCTATCTATCTATCTATCTATCTATCTATCTATCTATCTATCTGTCTGTCTGTCTGTCTGTCTGTCTGTCTGTCTGTCTGTCTGTCTGTCTGTCTGTCTGTCTCTGTCTGCCTGTCTATATCTATCTATCTATCTATCTATCTATCTATCTATCTATCTATCTATCAATCATCATCATCATCTATCATCTATCTATACGCTGAGTGCTGTGTACACACACAACACCCACACACAATGGACCTGGTGCTGTGTCCATGCACATACACATACATATCTACCTATCTATCCATCCCAGGTATGTAGGCATATGTGTATCTATTGATCTATTTAGGTTTGGGGGCCACATGTACGTGTACATGCACGTGCGCACACACACACACGCACACACACACAAACTGAAATTACATCATAGCACTTCATCCTTAAGTCCTCCAGCATACATCTGCAAAAGAATAAGGAATTTTTCTTACATGACTACAATACTGTATCCACACCTAAGAAATTTTGCTATAATTCTTTAGTCTAGAAAAAAAATCATCAATCCCTTAATTGCATAGGTATTTTTGCCATAGCAGCAGAGTGGAGATGACAATTTTCATATTCTGCTTTTGTGCTTATACATGCTTCATGGCATGATTCTTCTTGACAGTAAGTTCCGAATTTTCTCAAGTCTGTCTCCCTGCAGAGAAAGCTCTATGACCCTCCTAGGTAGTCTAGATATGAGAAAAAGGAAGTAGAGAAAAGAAGTTGAGTAAGGGATATTTGGAAAAGATGATGGGCTCATATCTCCAAATTCTCTCTTTCTCTCTCCCTACTTAACCCCAGGCTGCTTTCACACACATGATCTTCTTGCCTCAACCTCCTTAATACTAGGATTACAGGCACATGCTACCAGCCCCCAGCAAATCCTTTCTCTTTTGAAAGGCAGAAGATGGATAATGGTGTTGGCAAGAGGGGTGGGGATGGGAAGAGGGAAATTGCTTACTCCATCTGGGATAGGCACTGATTCAGAACTGTCATTCAAGTGATCTTTTTATTATCAAACACTCCAACAGCCAGGCGTGGTAGCATATGCCTTTAATCCCAGCGCTTGGGAGGCAGAGGCAGGTGGATCTGTGTGAGTTCAAGGCCAGCCTGGTCTACATAGCGAGTTCTAGGCCAGCTGGGGCTACAAGGAGACCTTGCTTCAAAAAGACAACAACAACAACAAAAAAACAAAACCAAAAACAAAAGAATACTCCAAAGAAGGGAAGTTCAGGAACTAGTGACCAATTACACATACCTATTTACATATAATTCACATTGAAACAAACAATTTAGCTCTTATACTAGTCACATTTCAAGCACCACATGTGGCTCAAGGCTACTGTACTGGTCAGAAAAGATTATGAAGTATTTCCATGTGTAAGGAAAAGTTTATGACAGTTATAGCTCGAGGTGAGATTTGAAGGATAGTACAACACGGCCTACCCCACCCTTACCTTCTCTATTTTCAAACTGGAGATCTCCTGGACAGAACTGCTTAAGGAAACTAGGCAAGGTTTTATGGGGTGACAACCTGCACATCAGAATCTGAGAACAAGCCACTTATTTTAGTAAAAGGATTGATGTTGGCAATGGAAGGAGCTGTTTTTCTTTTCTTTTCCACTGAGGGCCCATGACTGAGCATATTCAAGCAAAGGCTGAAGGGTCACGTGTGGGGAACCGGGCAGAAGACTCTCTGTGTGTGTGTGTGTGTGTGTGTGTGTGTGTGTGTGTGTGTGTGTGCGTGTGTGTGTGTGTGTATGTGTGTACATCACATGTGCATTTATGTTCACATATATGTGTATCCCAGTACACACACATGCCCAGGCATCTCTGTGTGTATAAATATTTATGGAATGCTAAGAAAGGGATTTTTGTATTAAATGATCTGCAAGCTCTGATCATTTTTCATGTGACCTGTTTTCAACAGTCTCATTATGTTGCCCAGGATGGTCTTGAACTCTTTGGTTCAGCCTCTCCGGTTGCTAGGACTGTAAGTCCACACCACTCCACATGGCATTAGTCAGTGTTTAATGTTATCTAGGAAAGGAGATGCTCTACTTTCTAGCATTTTCTACTTATTGAATTAAAAAATTCTTTTCTATATCTCAAGAAAATTGAAACCTATGATGATTTTCCTCTCTCCAACTGAGTATCTCTTGGGTTCTTATTCCAGCCTTCTTTTCTCAATGAACTTTTAAAGTGGCATGTGTTTGCTGCTGCTTTAAATAACTATAAGTCAGAAGTGAAAAAATTATTCCCTTTTCAACCTCTTTCAATTCTGATTATAACAGAAGAAAGTTTCACATTGGTCCATTTAGCACCTCCTTAACAATTAATCTTCTTAACAAAAGGAAAGGGACACTAGGACTAGGAGAGGAAATCTAAACTAGAATTTGACAACATTGCTTTGTTTGTGTTTATGTTTATAGTAGCTTTGTATTTATGGCTAGTGATTTGGGTTTTGTTTTAGGATAATAATAAAAACATTCCTTTCTAAATGTGTGTGTTTAAGACTCTGTCACTAAAAACATTGACAGGACAGGTGCTAGGTAGATAAAGAACAAAGTCATGAAGACAATGTAAGTCAAACAAACATTCTGGAAATCTTGCTTTGATGGTAAGAACAGTAGATCAGTCAGATTTAAGTTTGAGTTAATTGCGTTGTTGCAATTAGTTATGGAACCTTGGGCCTAGTACTCCAGCTTATAGAAGGTGAGGCATGGTGGGATAATTACCATATTGCCCACTTCACTGGATCAAAACTAATGAAAGGACAAGGAAGTTTGTTAAATTGCCATAGAGGGAGGCAAAAGCGTGGGCTGGAGAGATATAAGACATTTAAAGTCATATCTTGATTCTGAATCCTTCAGCGCAAGGCTGGTTCTCCATGGGGGTCTCTGGGAAATATTTATGAGTTTGGGTTGGGGATGGGAAGACTGTGGTAACCAATCAGTCTCCTTTCTCCTGATAGAACTTACAGCAGTCTAAGAACAGTTTTTACCTTCATCTAGACATCTACTTTCTCTCTTTTAAATTATTATTTCTAGCTAACATACAAAATATTGTGGTGTGTGTGTGTGTGTGTGTGTGTGCATGTGTGTGTGTGTATGTGTGTTACTCTATAGTCTAAACTGACCTGGAACTTGCTTAGCCTCCTGAGTGCTGGGATTACAGGCATGCACCATCATGCCCAGCTAAATTGTTTTATTTTGACATTTTCATACATAAATCATTTTACCTTGCGATTCTTCACTTATGTACTCCCTCCCCATATCCCTTCATTTTCTTGCTGGTCCATTTCTTTCCCCTTCTACCTTCACAAAACATATACATATATAGGTAATGTGTGTATTTAAATCTAAATTCTATATATGAGAAAATATGCAATATTTAGTCTTTTTTTTTCTGCTCATTCCCCTCCTCTACTTCCCCTCACCCTCCATTTAGGCTTCTTTCTCCCTCCCCATAGTCCCCTTCTGTTCTCATGTCATCTATCTACATACAGATATATTAAATATTATATATATGTATGTATATATTCTATAATGAGAGAAAATGTGGTATTACAGACCACTACTCTCTCCTGAGTCAGACACACATAAGGGTCTTGGGGTTGGCCTGTTGTGATATATTGTTGCTTGAAACAGGTGTTTTGATAAACGTGGTAGGAAAAACTGTGTAACACATATTCTTCTCTTGGATCTTGACTCTGGGATTCCTGTTCTTTTTACTTCAGTAGGTTTTCCTGCAGGATTTAGAGTCTGGTAGGTGGCATCCCATTGAGCTGGGGAGGGAAGAGCAAACAAAGACCTTCAGGACCCAGTCATTTGTTGATTTCTGGCTTTTAGGAGAATTCTGGCTTAAGCTCCTATGAGAGAAGAGAGAATAAAATGTTTTGTCTCATTCTTTTTAAAATATTTATTATTATTATTATATGTGTATGAGTTTATTAACCAGGCTGGCCTTGAACTCACAGAGATCCGCCTGCCTCTGCCTCCCAAGTGCTAGGATTAAAGGCGTGAGCCACCACTCCCAGCTTTTATTTATTATTTTTATTTTATGTATATGAGTGTATTGCCTGCATGTATGGAAGTGCACCTGTGTTGTGCAATGTTCGCAGAGGTCAGAAGAGGGTGTTGGAATCCATGGAGTTACAGACAGTTGTTAGTAGCCATGTGGTGCTGGGAATCAAACCTGGGTCCTCTGCAAGAGCAATCAGTGTTCTTAACTGCTGAGTCACCTCTCCAGCTTGCTTTGTCTCAATCTTCATGAGGATAAAAATTAAGCATATGTGAAATTAATTTATAAGAAAAGGTAAGAAAAACAAAACCTCCCGTCAGAGTTCAGATAAAGGCTATAGTCAATAGAAATTAGCTTACTAAAATTTTGCCTTTTTGTGTATTTATTTATCTTGTTTTGGTGCTGGAATTGCATCCAGGGCCTCCAGCACATTAAGTAAATGTATAGCACAAAACTATTCCTCTAACACATTTACTAAGAATCTGAGCTGGACTGGAGACTTCTGATAGGATGAAAATGTACTAGCTGCCAGCTTTCACCAAGCATTTATTATCTTTTGGAATTGTCACAATATTCCTACAAGGTCAAAACAATCTTATTTTACTTGTAAGCAACAGATTTTGAGAAGTTCATTTGCCCAGGGTTAACTGATAAAGACCTAATTAGAGCCTAGATCCAAGTCCAGAAATGAGCTCTCAATCACTACAGTACATTGTCCACTAGAATGTCCAGCTTGGAAAGAGCCTGAGAAATCTGTGTAAAATCAAACTCATTATGAAATAGGTAAGAAAGTTGAAGACCAATAGAATTTCTTTTTATTTTTCTCAATTTGTCCATGGTTAAGTGGTTGTGTAGAAAATAGGGGGGAAAGTGGGCATACATTGAGAGTC